TTTTATTTTTTTTTTTTTTTTTTTTTTTTTTTTTTTCAGATTTTCAAATTTTTCTTTTGTTTACCTCTTCCCACCTGCCCTTACTGTTCGCCACTTCATACATCTATCAGCCAAAAGCAGATAAATCAAACTGGGGTCCAGTTATGTGCCTTCTTGGGTGGGCGTTCCGGGTCATCAATCCACATCAACTCATACACATTGTAATTGATCAACATGACCTCAATCTTCCCCTTCTCCTCATTAATCAAGAACGTATCAATACCATCCAGAACCTGCAGGTTGTGGTCGTAATCATGATACTCCCACCGCTCCGTCACCCACTGACCCTTCGGAGCGACATGGGTACCAGTGATATTGTACTGGGTCGTAGGCAGTACACTATTCAGCAATCTGGCAGACTCCTTGATACCCTCATGGCCTTGCAAGGTGCGATCAAAGGTGCCGCAGAAAGCCATCTTGAGTTTCTTCGAGTAGTTTCGCTGAATATCCAAGGGGATATCACCGATATACCGAAGGAGAATATGCTCCCAGTAGACCTCGGAAACGGTGCGGTCGGTATCCGGCTTCAGGTTTCCCGAGATAAGCTGATCCAACACCGACTGGGGCGGCTTGCTGGCCTCGTCCTCGATGTTATTGGACATCTTGGCGAACTGAGCTTTGAGCCATTCCTCTCCCTTGGGCAGACGTGGATCGGTGATGATCATGTCCGGGTAGGCGTCGACAAACCACTCGGCGATATCTCTATGGCCTTTGTCAAGAGTCAACTTGATGATGGTGTAGCTGTTACTATCACGGAGATTGACATTGGCGTGTCGCTGGCACAGCACCTTCACGGCCTCGAGTTTGCCCGAGACGGCGGCCACGATCACCGGAGTGTACAGATCATGTTTCTTGCATTGCTCGTCGATCTTCTTCGGCTCGGCGTCGAGGATCTGCTTGATCTTCTCGAGCTCGCCGTTTTGGGCAGCGGCGAAGAGAGGACCGCAGATGCTAAAGTCTGGATCGCTGGTCTTGCCGGCATGGGCGGGCTGGGGCACGTAGGTCGGGCCGTTCTGGTTGACAGCGGAAGGCATGATGAAGAGTAGACTTCGGTGGTTGGTTGATTGCAATCGGCTTGGAGAATAGATGCTTGAGATCTTGTTGATTGCGATGATAGAGAGGCATTTGGGCTGTGTCAATCGCCCCTTAAATATTTGCGCATCCCCCTCAACTTCACAACGAGATGGAGATGGGCGGTCTCAATGCGATCGTCATTGACGTTAGAGACAACCTTTCCAGTACGACATACAACGGTGTCGTTGGATCTCCAGGAGCAGAATAGATGCAATGAGAAGCTCTCCGTCCTGTCCGTAGAATATCGTCTCTCGGATAAACAGTAGTAGCCATGAATTTGTGGTTACATTAGCTCTCAATGTCGAACGCTTTCAGAAGTCAGGACCATTTCGAGAGAGAGAGTCATCACCATTATCGTCAAGGTGCTGGTCTAGAGCCAGTGTTCACGGAATATTCCTGCGTCAAAGTCGAAGGACGTGACATGTATAGGCTGGCTGAAGTGGATGAGATGACATCTTGTTCCCAATGCGGAATAACTGAGAGATCTGTTTTGGGCAAAGAGTTGCAGTTCATGATAGCAGCCTTTGACGCAGTGGCGCATGCCACATGTTATCTTCCTATGGAACTCACGCTAGCTGGCTGGGCTGGGCTGCCTGGATGACAGCTGTCTATATCCGTGCCATCCGTAGTACGTCTTCCGGAAATAGAGTTCCATGGACCTCTGGCATAACACAGCGTAATGGTGCACATACCTCTGGTCTAGTCTTGCAAGAAGTTGGCAATGGCTTTCCGCTTTGGGGTTCTTTCGCTGCGAACGTAGACGCAAGTATTGTCCTGGACAAGTATCGAATGGCATCCTGCGTGCCACGTTGGAAGTCGGCATGCTCTAGAGTAGGGATGACGTATTTTACATACGGACACTCTTCCTTTGATGTGTTCTACATGACACAGTCGCCTCCTAGGATAGTATTGGCCAGTGGAGACGAGGCCTGACATAGCGTGTAGCGTTGCATCTTAGGATCAACTCCGTCTCTAAGTACACGTACGGCATGGTCGGATAGGGCTGTAATCCTTCAGAATGAGGTAGGACTTACTCGTAGGCACCATGGTTCCCTAAGTAGATTGTCACTGGGGTACTGCATAACCAATTGGCAAAGGCAGCAAAAGCTTCAGGGACTTGACGTGGTTGCATTGACGGATGCAGTTGGCTTTGGGTCTACATTACCGTCGTGCTAGTGTCATTGGGATAGGCCCTGCCCCGGACCTTTAGTATGGACTGCTCCATGACTTCCACTGTATCCGAGACGGCTTTACTGACAGGTTCATGTCACTCTGCTAAGCTACCTTGAGCAGAGCATTAAGGGATCACGCCTAACATTGTTTCCCATTCTAGCGTTTTAGGGTCCAGGGCCATCAAATTTACGTAGTGACCAAGTAGTGTAGCCAAGTCTGCCGTCTTCTTTCCCCTAGTCTAGGTAGCTGGGAGATACATACAGAAATCCCATGGTATGTTGACTCTTCCAATACGTACATCTCAGAATGAAGCTGAGTATTATTTTAGCACCACGCGCACAACTCATAGTAGAACCCTATCTGACTCATACCAACAATCACCATCCTAGTTTTTGTCCTTCTCCGACAGAATCTCCTGCTGACCATCTGAATCGTCCCGTAGGAACGTCTCCTTATCCAGATCGCGATAGACCCAATAAAACACCACCGCGAATAGCACTCCCGGGACAGCAGTGCCTACAAACGGCCAAATCAGATGCGGATCCGCCAACGCCGGAACAACAGCCTGACTAATTGCAGACGAGACGGCAGACGTAAACAGGAAAAGAGCGACGACCAACGCGCGCATACTCTTCGGCGACCGCGAGAAGGCCAGCTCGTAGCCGCTGACGATGGCGAAGAGCTCCGATAGGGCCTGAAGAACGTACATTGGGGTTTGGGCCCAGACGGAGAGGGTGGAGACGCCGTTGCCAATGTCACATTCTGTCGCATAGTAGCCGCAAGGTGAGGTTTCGTAGACGCGCCATTGGAGGATGGCGCCAATGACACAACTTAAGGCAGCGAGGATAAAGCCGAGGGTGATACGTTTGATGGGGCCGAATTCGATCCGATGCCTACGGAGTAAGGGGTAGAGACCGTAATTGAGGATCGGAGACGCGATGATGATAGCTAGAGGATTGAAGTTGCTGACGAGGTCGTTGGGTGCCCCTTTCGTTGTCATTGATCCGGCTTGGGAGTTGGTAATACTTCCGATGCCTCCGTTGTTGAGGTAGTACAGGGGATAGAAGAGAAAGATCTGGCAGGCCACGAGCGTGCGTCGAACATCGTCCACGAACCCATCGTTCCAGCTGATCGGCTTCCCCTTATATGAGGCGATACCCTGCCGCGCAAGCTCCGATGGCTTCGCTGAGTTGAAGTACACCTCCGATCCGAACTTGCGGAACCCATTTTGTTGGATCGCTAGTTTGATGACATGCCAGGTGTCACCGAGGACGTTCCCTTGCGGAGGCATTTTGATCGTCTTCTTGTATACCAAAGCCAAGATAATTGGCATCAAGAAGTACATGATGCCGGGAATGAGGTATGCCAGCCAATATCCGACACGCTTCGCCGAGTAGCTGGTCGCCAGCCCGAAGAAAGCGCCCACATTGATCAGAGCTGTAGGGATGAAGATAATGTTAGCTCTCATTTGACATGTAGAATCAAATGATGTCCGCCTACCGTAAAATGTAAGTGTAAGTCGCTGGATCGTAGTTTCGGGGTGGACAATGACCCGTTCTCCGGACTTCAGAGTTCTAATGTAAGGATGCTTAAAAGTGACCTGTTCCATGACAGCCGGGGAAATATTCGCCTTGACCATACCTAGAGTATTTGTTAGATCTCGGTAGACATAAAGACGGGGATTTGTATCCATACCCGCTCCAAATGCGAGAATTATCAGACTGACAACGAACGGTGCCATGCCATGGCCAGCCTGCAATATGCTCGGAATCGCGCCGACCACCATGATAATATGCGAAACACCGCAAATGGCCACCCCGATACAGATTGTCTTATATCGTCCCAGCTTTGTATCAGCTAGCCAGCCGCCAAAGATGGGAATACAGTACGCAAGGAACTTGAACAACAGCGTCAGTGCGGACGAGACCTGCAGTCCCTGCCCTAATGCTCCTGCTGGCTTCTCCGACCCTGGCGCTGACGCTCCCGCGCCATTCCCACCGGGGGGTAGAGGATATTGAATGAAATTCTGGAAGACCCAGGTGCAGCCATAATACGAGGCACGCTCTGCAAACTCAACGGTGCAGAGCCAATATCCGGACCCTGATACTGGGCCGGGGACCTTGCGTAAAGTATTTAATTCCTCCTCGGTGGGCGCTTGGCCCAAATACTGGTCGCCATCGTAGACAGGTTCGGTCGCAGATGGAGAGGCCTTTTCTTCGTCCGATATAGTGAACGCCGCTTTCTTCTCCCCACTGAGCGAATTTGATTCTATTGCACCCTGAGCAGCTAATGACCGGTTAATTCAAATTAGCTCGGATAAGAGAGGCGAGCAAATCATTCTCACTAACCCATGGTTCAGTACCGCAAATTGTCACAGCACTGGATTATATCCAAGTCCTTCCCGCAGATGAGTACGGATGTGCCACCATACAAATATATAGTATTTCCGACACTGCATACATAAGCGGCGGAGATGCATACGTGCATCCGCAGTTCCAAAAGAAATGGAGGATCCAGATGTAACATTAGCAGAATGCCATTATGGTGGCGATGATGTGATTGGCAATGTGGTTTTGACCTGCTATCAGTTGCACGTTGCCCTACAGCGCTAGGCGGTTAATAGATTAGATCACCAAGGGACGCATTAAATTCATCCTTATTGTATCCTGGTCTTGTCTTGGCGTTGCACGACCTCAGTATCTCGCCGCGGGACTGCGATGGCGACATGAGCCCGAGAGATGATGTTAGACACATCCCGTTGGCTACCTAAGATTATCTGGACACGGCGCGGGGAACAAATGAGTTGTCTCCTCCAAGACGCGCATGTCGCCAGAGTCACCGTAGGCAATTGCTCCTGCAGTACAATGTCTAATCCTTGCTTACTTTTGTTGTAGGTGAACGGGTTACTTCGCGGTTTGTCGTCCGCACAGATCAGAATTTCCAATAGGCAGGTTCCAAACATACGTGTGTGGGCTTTGTCTAGTGGTCCGAAGCTGACTTCTTAATAATGTCTCATAATCTAATATCTTATACAAACTAGTTTATGTGGGTTAGGCCATAGCTGTTCTGATTCGACGCCACAGTTCAGCGCATACTCTATCGCAATGCCAGCACAAGGTACCAAGCCCTTGAATGCAAAAGGGTCGCATCATGACGAATGACAAAAGCTTCATTTTATAACTTAATCATCAATTTGCTAGGCAATAGATACATAAGCAAGAATGGGCAAAGGCAGGATGAAACATAAGCACTGCGTGGAGTTATCCTAGTTTGGAGGCAACCTCCTGTCGCGCACTCGGTGGCACCCATCTCTGTATCATATCAGCATTGATCATTCTTCTATCTGAACCATAGGTCTCGAATAGCCAGCTGTTCCAATCCCAGTCTATCCACTCTTCGAAATTAGAAACAGGTTCTCTACCACGAGTCCTATACCACCTTAACATAGGGCTAATATACGTTCCCGGTAAAAATCGGCTTTCTTGATCCTTGTCCGTTGGGTCACGAGATCGACCGAGAGACGCGTGACCAAAGTCAATAAATGTGATATGCAGGTTGGAAGTTGAGATTATAATATTCCGTGGACTTGTATCCCGGTGCCATAAATTATCCTCGTAGAGTCGAGACTCTACATTAACAATCTGTTGCATAATGGCCTTTCGAACGGGCTGCGTGAAGTTCTGTGGCTGCAGTGTATCCATAGATTCTCCGTTGATATATTCAGATAGTATCAATCCCACCGTACGAAATTGTCCCTTGGAATAACTGATGTCCATGGTATAAGAACCATAATACTCAGGAACATGTTTCTCTGCACAGCCCTGCAAGTGCCTGTAAGCAGCAGTTTCCCGATTGTGTTCAATGTGAACATAGAGGAAGGGATCCACATCATCATTAGAATGATCATAATACAGCGGGTCGTATATTTTTGCAACAATAGGTGTAGCACCCTGGCCGGAAACAACGTCCACTAGAACAATTTGCGAGGTCTTTCCATCGCCTACTCGGATAGGCTCTCTTATCTTCAAGCGCAAGGTGTGAGAGCCCGGCTGACCAGGAAAAGCCTTCTTGGCCAGGCAGCGCGCTAAGACGTCCGTGTTCTCCCTTTGAAAAGCTTCTTCTGGAGTAAGGCCGAAGGCTGGCTTAGTTTGGGGTTTAGGTGGGCTGAATTCGAGAGCAGAAAATTCATAACCTTCGACATAAGGCAGATCCGGTTTGGGTGTGTCATTTAATGTATTAAAATCTAAAGAAAGAGTCATGTTTCATGGATCAGCACGGCAGGATGAATGGGCGTGTCTCGACTTGAATCTAGTCGTGTACCAAGACGATTTTGCTCCGTGGAATGCAGGCGTACGCGGTTATGCGCGAGTGTACGCGTCTATGTACGTATGTACGAGTGCACAACGTTACCAAAATAATATGTGTTACAACAATTAAATACCTGGCTAGAAAAGATCAAACAATTATTAAATAAATATACAATAATAAACGGAAAGAAATATTACTACAGTTCAGATTTTAAAGTTCCCTGAAAATGTATTTCTCGCATTAAGTCTAGCGTCGGATGATATATAAACCACGACGACCGACAGGATCATAATTCCAGAGCCGAAGACCAGAACCACCCCTACTTGAACTCGCCAGGCCCCGGACCAAAATGGCCCCCAGCGGAGACTTTTAGGTAGGGAACAGACTGCGAATCATAAGTATTAGACCCAACATTATTGCCCCACCAGCTAAGCTTGGTACCGGTGTAGCTCAATGCGAAGAAAATGAGGATCGTAGCCAGAGCAGTGCCTGTATCCATGGCCGCCTGGAGGAGATCTGTGCTCAATAGTCAGTATTAATCTTATGGATGCAATCGGGCGAAAGAACTCACAATTATATCGCTTCCACCACTCGAACGCGCGTCGGCGGATCCAGAAGTTGAATATGAAGCCGACAATGAACCAGAGGGAGTATTGCGCTGAATTGTTTAGTGTGTTGAATCCTGAAAAGAAAAAACCTGTTCACTCACTTGTAGTAGCTGGTGGGATATTGCCAGCGGCATTGAAGAAGATCGGTACGTTCACGTACTTTAACCAGCTGTTGGGATATCGCCGGTAAAGGAGGTACACGATGACAGTGACAACGGGCTGGTAAGTGTTAGCCCAGGAAATATAATGGACTTCTGACCAAGTGAGAACGTACGCCGATGAGGAAAAAGTACATGAGGCTGTTGTATACTTGTCCCTGTTGGAACATTCTATGTGGACCGATTGTTCCCCAGATGATGGATGCATTGTACATCACCTTGGAGCCATTGCAGGTAAAGCGATTGGGGTTCTTAGGGTCACAGAGCCCGGATATATGCCCAAGCATCCAGCGCAGAACTGCACGTTCCTGTTAGTGGGTGGCTCTTGTCGGGTAAGAATACCGAAGCTCACCTCCAGTTTGAGTCATGGTCGCGATAATAGATGCATATATTTGGCCGGCAAAGAGGGGACGTGGTGGGATTTTCTGTATCGTAGGCACGTTAGTGAAGTCATAGGTGAGTATTGAAATATCTACGCACCATATACTGTCCCATTTTGAGGTCTTGGGCAAAGTCCATGGCGTGCTTAATTGAGTTATACCCGTAGCACTTGACCATGGTGTTTGCGATCGCGCTTCCGGGATATGCATACCCTGCGATTAGCTCCGTGATGATATTTAGAAACACTCGCTGGTTAGTCGTGCCTTGTAGGATTCCCTCCGGCAGGATCAATACGACACCCATGCCAAAGCAGACGACAAGGAATCCCCAGACGGGTAACTCCGTGTCCCAGTATCGTACGGTGAGAACGCCCAACCCGAGCACAATAACGGTCAATATTCCGTACCACCAGTCCGGCACATCGTTATAAGCATGCATTAGTCGACGATGGATGTCCTCGCCACCGGCGCGCGCGTTTTTGAGTTTGGCCCAGATTTCGCGACCGTTGTAGAGATAGGTGTGCACGATCACGGCTGTGACTGCAGCAAAACCGAGGCCGTAAGTAAGAGCGTACGCCATAGAGATGTACATTGGAGAGTAGGCTTGGTATTTGCTCTCGACAAAGTTTAAGTTAGCATCAACCACTTTTGTGATGTTATAGGACTGGCCGGTGTTGTCAAACGTGTTCGCCGATAGGAGTGGTAGGCTAGTAAACCGGTTAGATATTGTGCCACACAACTTGTGAGAATCAGATGCACCTACTAAGCACTGTTCCAGACATTGGTATAGTAGAGAATGGGCGAAAGGAAGAAAAAGAAAATGACAATCGTTGCGAACGCATTGCAAGTGATGTAGAACGGAGTGGTCAGTGGAAACCCGGCGTAGTTTATCTCGGTCCAGTCGAGGCTGATGGGCAGAAGCCCTAAGCCCGAGTTCATCTGTATCACCACGACTGTTAGACTATGACAACGAATCTAGAGTTAACTGTCGGGAGGTCTCACTCCGAACAATGTATTGACCACCTGGTTGTGAGGCACAATCCATGTGATAAACGCAAACGAGCTGAGACTGGTCCAGATATAGTCGGGGAACCAGAAAAGCACGAAGCCGAAAATTGTAAAATAAGCAAAGAAGCGGTATCGAGTGATGGTCCAGCCATTTGCAGGAGACCGATCTTCACGCTCGTGAAGAGCACGAAAGAGAACGGTGGAGGAAAGAGACGTGGGCCAGATGAGAGCGGCTGGGTAGACAATCCACCGACGAGCAAGGCCGGCCAGACCAAAGCTGGACAAAATGTATGTCAGTATATCTGACTTGAGAAAGCTCTCTTTGCAACTAAGTCTCTTACCCTATCATCTGGGTGGTCAGAAGGTACAGAAAAGAGAAGCCTGGTCCGAAGTCGCGTCCCCAGAACCGAGGGTGAATGATTGCCATTAGTGATCCTTGCGCATAAGGCGTAGAAGCGCTGATATTGACACACTATATATTCATTCGCAAGTGAGCAACAGTGTCTAAGATCTGCATTCGAAAAGGATGACTGACGATGACAATAAATGCATGCTCTTTGACAGTGAACTTTCCCGGGTTGATATCGAATGACAGCCTTCCCAAGGGTACCCTCCAACGGGGAAGCTTTTCCCATGCCCGACCGATGGGAAACACGAGAAGCTGGGCTACAACATAACCGATCGTGAGAGAAGGCTTGATCCAGTCAGTATCAAAGCTTGATCCAGCGCACGCATGTTAGAGATTCAAGGGTGCTCAACATACGTATCGCAGGCCAAAGAATTGGTTAACGCCCGAAAATAACATAACGAAAATTGTCATTAGTATCCACGCTCGAGCAGCTGAGATAGAGTCAGTACATGCGACCAGCAGAAAGTTTCAGCGACTCACTATTGCAGAGCATGGTTGGATCATCCGTGTTAGACACGCATGCGGCCACTTCAGGGACTGCAATATTCTCCAGTTAGTTCATACATGGCTCTGAGCTAACATTTGTCTGTGGGCTACCCACACGGTGATTGATCCCCATCGACATTCCATTTAAATGCTTCTACCGGTGGTAATTCGTTTACCTCCCCGGCCTTTTGCATCTCATCGACCCCTCTGCCTGACTCTGAATCTGTCGTATGAGTCTCGACAGTAGGCCCGCCCTTGTGGTCATCTTGGCCACCTTGGGCTTTAATATCTGAAGGGCTCTCAGAAGGCATGGCGAAAGTAAGGGAAGTCCAATACTTTGCCAATTTATTACGGTAGAGGCCTTCTACAGGAAATTCCGGGGAACTACAGCGAGAGTCTATCAATAAATATAACGCAAGGGGGTTTTCCAGACTACAGGCTGCTGTGAGGAAGGATTACAGCAGACCCACAAAATATGGCAGGGTGTCTATCACGCTATTGAGCATGATAGATCACATCATAACGCTAGTGGATCGGAACACAGACGTCTTATAAGGGCTTGAAATTGTTATGTTGCAAGTGGAGCTATTCCAGTGGAGCTTCAAGAGTCTATGATATCACGAATTGAAAATCCCACTCGGGCCACGATATAACATGTAGAAGATAGAAAGTAGACAGCGATAAATCAAAATTTAAAGTATGTTTTCGACAGTCATATATGTAAGGAAAAGAAATAAGTAAGATATCAATGTACCCAGTTGCTTTCAATTTCTAGCGTGCACCTATGGTTAATATCATGCTGCAGTGGGAACCTAACACACCCGCGGGTTCATCATGCCCGACTTCAGATATCTAGAACTGATAGCCAATTTGCCATATAGGGTAAAATACCAGCAGATATACTGATAGCAGAATCAAAGAAGGTCCAGCCCGCAGCTGGGCCGTTGGTAACCGTGGATAGAAGCATCTCAATTGGAGCATGCACATCGAGAAATATTTTCGGCGTCGGTCCGGGCCGAGTTCGAGAACTAACCGATGTCGTGCAATCATTGCTTACTTTTTCTTGTTTACCCTTAGTTTATTGGCAAAGAATTGGCGTGGCTGACGTTTACAGCGCAGATATCTCCGGTGGCCATGCGAATGGAACGGCGTAAACCCAAAATCGACATAACTGGCACCCACTTCCGAAGTAAAACCTGCTACTCAACTCAGTCAAGCATCCCAGAAAACGGCGATCATGTCGACTAGCACAAAGAATGCCAGATTTATTGGTCTTACATCGCTATTGTTTACTTGGGGCAACTGTAGGTGTCAAATGTACGGTGTTCTCGACTTCATGCTAACTTTGCACGACGAATACCAATCCGTGCCCTAAGTGGCGTCATCGCTACTACCCCACTTCGGTGAACGATCATGCCTCTGACGCGAGCTTGTACGCATTAGACGTGATATTAAGGCTGATGTATGTCCCTCACTTTACGACCGGTAAAATCTCGGGGATTATTGAAGATTTTAAGCTTGTCATTGAAGCTAGCCAGCGGACAATTATCGCGCCCGTGCATTCTCCAGACACACAAGGAACAGATATTGATTGCGCAATTGACCACGTTCTTTCTCCTTGTTTTACTCCACAATCCTTTATTCTATTAATTCCATACACCCTTTAGTGCGCGCGTCGCCTAAGACCTATAACATCCTGCATTCAACTATCGCTGGGGATATACAAGTATTGTAATACCGAGGAATGGTTGCGCGTCAAGCGATCATTGATCGCTCATGGCGAGCATTACTGTAAGATGTTGCTTACAGGGTCTTATCTTCGATCGCTTTTTCCGCAGACAAAATGGGAAGCGTTCGTCCGCTGTTCGACTTCGTGGTTGATCTCTCCTTCGCTCTGCACAAGAGGGTACACTGGGACATCCATGGAAAATTCCGACGGTTTAACTCTTACCGCTTCACATAATTATTAAGTCGACATTTGATTACACTCATACACACCTATATGTCGGCCCGGCTCTCAGGGCAAATAGATATATGTAATATTGGCTGGTTTGCACTTTGTATTCAGGTTCAAGTGCACACAACTGTAGGGCACGACGGAGCAATTGTCGGATCACCTCCATTGTACGATCGGGGGATTTGGCGGGCAGGAAGCCATGGCGACTCCAGGTACTGTATAAGCTCCATCTACCCGATGACTATAAAGGTACTTTTTTGAATTATGTTCCACGTAGTGAGAAGACGATGTCACCCTCTTGCAAACCATGTTCAACATGATGACTCTTCGGGTTCTATTGGCTACATTCTTCATCCCACAATGGGTTTCTGCTTCACCAGCCCTGAATAGCAGCATAAAGACATATAGTTTTCCGGAAGGGCTGGATCTGGCACATGCCTACACCATTCAGGTTCAACAATCTACCGGGGGCTTGCATACCGTTGAATCCTACAACGCCATCGTGTCAGAAGCCAATACCACGTCCGGAAAGGGACTCGAGCACAACACTTCCTTTGCTTTGTTCGACTTTGAAGGACCCGTTATGATCTCCGTCACCTACAATAATGGGCCAGTAAGGTCTGTCGTCATAAGACCATATTCATATAATATCTCGCCGACTGTGCAAGGAAATACGATCTCTTTTACGTTGGACCTACCGCGCAATGTCGTAGTCCAAGTCAATGACGATGTGTTTGATACCTTGCAACTTTTCACTAATGCTGTTGAGACCGACATTCCCAGTGAACATGATCCAAACGTGGTCTACTTTGGACCCGGCCTTGACAACGGCCCCTCCTCCAAGAACGGAACATTGGTCGTACCATCCGGTAAGACCGTATATCTTGCTCCTGGTGCAGTTGTTACTTCTCGAATAGCCTTTCAGAATGCGACCAGCGGTTTGATCCAGGGTCGGGGCGTGATCAACCCAAGATCATCGGGTGGTGTACTTATCGAATGGTCGAGCAATATCCTGGTAAAGGACATTCTCATTCTCGGAGCAAAAGGGTTCTCGGTCACAACGGGTACATCGAAAAATATCACCATGTTAGGAATCCGATCGATGTCTTCCACCGGCAACGGCGATGGAATCGACTTCTTCTGCAGCGAGGATGTTCTGATCGATGGGGTGTTTCTACGGAACTCCGACGATAATATCGCTCTTTACCAGCATCGCTGGAACTACTACGGCGACTCGAAGAATATTACGGTACAGAACTCATCTCTCTGGGCGGACTGGGCTCACCCTATCAATATCGGCACGCATGGGAATACCGATAGCCCTGAGACCATGGACGGGGTCACCATCCGCAATATTGACATCCTCGATCATCGCGAGCCGCAACTTTGGTACCAGGGGTGCATTGCGATCAACCCTGGAGATAGTAACTTGATTCAGAACGTTCATATTGAAGACGTACGAGTCGAGAATTTCCGCCTGGGGCAATTACTCAATTTTCGGGTGATGTATAACTCCAAGTATAACACGTCGCCGGGTAGGGGCATTCGGAATGTCTTCGTGAAGGATCTGGTATACCATGGATCCCATGCAAACCCTTCGTTGTTTTTGGGATATGATAAAGATCGGAATATCTCAAATGTCACCTTTGTCAACCTACAGATTAACGACAAGGTAATCGACGACAACATGGCTAAACCATCCTGGTACTATACTGCGGATTTTGTGCCCATGTTTGCGAATGAATATGTCGAGGGACTGAACTTTACCAGTGAGCAATAGTAAACCAGCGAGTGAGTTTCTTCCTGGTTCACGCAGACAGGTTCCAATCGTCTTCATAACCCTAAACTACTTGTACAGAGACTCCCCATGCCCCGCAAGTTGTGTTGACATAACCTCTATTATCTTTAATCAATTACATGTCCCACATTCTTGCACAACAATGTTAGTAAGATAGAAACGCAACCAGTGTAAGCAGCAGAAGTGCCAAGCAGGCGAACCGGAATATTACCTAAAAGGGAACTGCTGAGCATTCAGTTCAAGCCATATTCATTGGTTCTATGCGACGATCTTCGCTTCAGCTCCACCAGATGTAGGCTTCGGAGAGACTCCGATAAATCCGCCGGCGCTACTTTTCTCCTTCCATGCGGGGGAAAAACAATCTCCGCAATCATGCAACTTGTCTGCCCCGTGGGGAACATGCACCTAATCCGTCATCACGGCAATTGATATGGCATCAAGATCACAAATGACTAGTATTATCAGTCCGAACCATCGACAGAATGCGCTCTAAGGCAAACGGTCGGCCCGCACAGGACCAACGACCGCAACAACAAGACCAGGACGCCACCAAACCAGAAGACGATATCCCGGCCTGCCAGTCCTGCCGCAAGAAAAAGGCACGATGTAGTCGTGAGCAGCCATGTTCGCAATGCGTGCGCTTTGATGTCGCATGCGTTTACGATGACCGTCGGCTGAAGCCTGGGCTACGCGCAGGAGCCGTTGATCAGCTCTACCGCCGGATTGATACACTGGAGAACATGTTTCTCGGGCAAAGCGTTCTGTGGAAGCAGGTCTGGGAGGCGCTCCATCCTAACTCGGCCTTCCCTGGTGCTCCGGATGAGGATTTGAATAATGAGGAAACGCCGAGTAGACAATTCGTTCACGCGCGCGAAGCCATGAAAAATTCAATGTCACAGCTTGCCGAGGCCAAGGACAAAGCAGAGTCTTCAATAGAGGCAGAACCCAATGAGGATAATGGTTTTCGGTCGCCAAAGCGACGAAAGGTCGATGTGGTGTCTACTCCACAGCAGTTACTAAGGAGAGGGACAGACTTTGACATCCTCAACTTGGACCTGGTGCACCATCTGGTTGAATTTTACTTTGCGAACATCCACCACTGGATTCCAATTCTACATGTCAGAAAATTTCGAGAACAGATTCAGACCTACAAGGGACGCCAGAAGGCTATCCATATTCTGCATGCTATTGTCGCGTTGTGTAGTCGGTTCTCTAGCGATAGCCGCCTAGGAAGCGATACAGAGAAGGCTGAACTGGCAGAGAGAAGTAGGCAGAATGTCATCTTGAGTAGTATGGAGTCATTCTCCGTTGAGAATCTCCAGGCGTTAGTCATCATTGCTTTTGATACAGTACGCAGATCATCCCTTTCACCGTCCGCAGAATTGCTGATCTCCATCTAGATTGGTCGTGGACGCGGCCCCTCGTCATGGTCCATCGTAGGAGGCATGGCTCGCACAGTAGAGCAGCTTCAGCTGAGCGTTGAAGAAGAGCATCTTTCCAGCCATTCTCAATCTGGCGAAACTTTAATAAGGCGCATGGCATTTCTGAAACCATCCACCTCCTGGAGTGAAGCGGAAGAAAGACGACGTGTCTTCTGGACCGTGTTTCTGATGGATCGCTTCTGCAGTGTATCCACCGGTTGGAATATCAGTCTGACCAGTGCAGATGTTAAGCGGAGACTACCCTGCGAAGGAGCACTCTGGGAGCAGGAAACTGAAGCAAGGCCGCCATATTTTGGCATCTCAGACGCAAAAGCCGCCAGCCCACATCGCCCCTTACTGGCAGAGAGCCGGATGACGGCTGATCCAAAGGAGCAAGATTGTATCGGGGGATTTGCTTACTGCATCGAAGCCACGGAGTCGCTTGCATTAGTCACCAATTTCTTTCTTCACCACGCCCTCGACATCCGAGATGCGGACAAAGCGCAGCTCTGGCTCATGCGATTCAAAGAGCTTGATCTCCGTATGGTCCAGTAAGTGATCCTTCCTGGATTGATAGCAAACACTGACGATTGTTCAGATGGAAGTTTTTTCTGCCGCCAAAATGGCGAGACGCGTCAGTGCTTAATGCCGATGGTATCATGGACCCTAACCTTACTCTTGCACATACAACACACAACACAGCTGTAATACTTCTCCACCAAGGAATCGCCTACCCGCCATTACACTGGAAGTCCTGCCCGGTCAAACTACCTTCAACATCATCGGCAGAAACATGTCTCGAGGCTGCCTCGGAGATCAGCACTATTGGCCAACAATTCCTTCTTTGCTCTCCCATCCTCACGAACCCCCAGTTCTCCTTCTGCCTCTTTATTGCCGGTAGAATGCTCCTCACACATTCCAAGTACTACGGTACCCCAATACCCAGCTCGTTGGATTCCCTTATTGCCAGCTTATTCGAGATCTCCCGCCGATGGGCAGGGCCCCAAAATGTACAGGATAACCAAAAGGATAACCTCGCCTCGGGCTTTGCCAAGCGATTGGTTCAAGCAAGGGACAACTTCCCTGCGCTATCGAAACCCAGCTTAGATATCCGACAGACGGCATACTCTGAAAATACTGACGATAGAGCACTCTCCAAGCATGTAGAAACCGTTTCTACACCGACAGTACTTGATGGCTCCTCGGTGCTACCAAGCCATACGTACGTGGAACAGGAGCCCCCACTACCTATACCCGATAATCACTCTGATACTTCGGTTGGCTTGGCGTTCCCTCCTCTTCCCTTGTCATTCCAGCAAACTCTCCAGGGTTTCACCGATATAGATCCATTTGGTATTTCACTGGCAGATCGAGACCAGTTCAACTCTCAACCAACACATGTATCCATCTGGAACAACGCGACGAGCTCTCTATACACTGATGCACCAATTGTATTAAACTGCGCGTCGCCAGAGCATCCGCAGGCAACACTAAGTCCTGGACAGAGGATTAGTCGCTATGGGGCAGTGGAAGTCGATCGAGCGGCTGCCATGGGCGAAGGATCCGCACATCTTGGCCACAGTACTTAGGAAGCTAGATTCTGCTCTCGTTTATATACCTGCAAATAGAGCTCCAACATGACAGAACTTCGACATTTTATAATCTATCGCGTATACCTCTATTCGAGAATCTGTGTGAGCTTTTCGTGCTCTACCGAGACATGGTCTAGTCACAGCAAATCGCCATTATAACAAATGCTCCCCATGGATAGCAATCTTTGTCCCACTAACCAGTCCCAGCTCTAAGAGGATGTTTCCCATCAGCATGAAATAATAATCGGCATAGACAAGACCATGGTTTGCCCAGCGACGAGTAGCAAACTCGTAGTTATTTATCGTCGCACCATCGAGGATGGTCTCTGGTGTTCTCTTACAAGTCCCATTCCCATTATGTGTCGGTCGAGAATCCGTAACCCGAATCGCTCCTGACTGCCTCCTTTTGTGCTCAGGCAGATCGTCGGGATACGTCGGCACCACGGTATCAGACGCCCCAGCTTCGAACCTGAGATCGCCAGGAGTCATGAACCCTTTCACCGTCCCTGCCAAAATCCTTATTGCAGACTTCAAATAAAATTCAGCGCCCTCCTCATCCACACCTCTCAACGCCTTGTAAATCAATAACATCCCACAGCCCGCCACCATACCCGCCGAGGTATCTCTTGGACAAGACGAGTCCACAGGAGCATCAAAGTCCCAATACGGCACACCATCGTCAGGCAAACGACGGATAAAATAATCAGCCAAGCTTCGTGCCGTCGTGAGAAACTCCATCTCCCCCGTCCACTCGAAGGTCTGCATGAATCCTAGGATGCCCCAAGCCTGGCCACGAGCCCAACAGCTCCCATCGCTATATCCCTGATGTGTGAACTTCGATTTCGGCAGGCCACTCTTCGCATCATAATTAACCACATGGACTGTGCTATTATCCGATCTTATGTGATGTTTAGCTGTGGTCCGCGCATGCGCCACCGCGATATCGTGAAACTTTAAATTTCCCGTCTCCTTCGCAGCCCAGAACAACAAATCAAGGTTCAACATGTTATCGATGATGACCAGGAAATCCTTCTCGGGATCCGTGAAGGAATATAGTTTCGTATGACAAACATCCCAGCTGCGCAATGACTGAACGCGCTCGTCGAACCGACTAGCCAGGGAATGCGCGGCTAAAACTAAACTGTTGTAGGCCTGCGGATCGCGGTTCAACGACCATGCCTTCATGGCCCATGGCGCGATCATGAAGCCCAGATCATGAGTATCTCGCTTCGCGGCGTTGGTGTGTAAATTTTCTGTCCACCATTGGCAGAGGTATTGGAGCTGAAGCTTATGGGGTAGAGGGCTTTTTTTACTGACTCTCCATGGTACGTCGTAGAAATCTGGATAGAGAGTCTGCCGTTCGAGGAGGAGATATAGCGACCCGGGGAAGAAGCCGGATGTCCAGAAATCGAGAGTGCGGTAGACATAGGTTACACCATCTGCGCCTGTGTACTCTGGGTAGAGTGTTGGTGGTGCTGCATTGTCCAGTGCTTTGCTCGCCACGTTCCAGAGTTTTGCTGCTGCGGATTCGGAGTAGAGTGCTTTGACTAGCAGGGAGGGTGTGGCTTCGCAAGAGAACTCTTTCGTCTTAGCCTTTTTAGGGGACTGTTGTTGTCAGCATATCTTCTCGCTGCTTATTCACAGAGGGGGTAATTTACATCTGTTCCATTCCGCCATGTCTCTAGCGCTCGTTTCGCTGATATTGTGGTGTTTTCGTGCATTTTAATACTGGTTTGGATTGTAGATAGTAGAATGGTGGAGATATCGTGCCGAGACTATAATCCCGGGCGCGAAGAGATATAATTTTCAACGTCAATATCCCTGTTTCATAGAGTGCTGTGTTGTTATATTCTATAGAGAACGGTCAGATACTCATAGTAGGGCACGGCGGCGGAGGAATGGCCGGAGCATCGCCGGTTAGATCTCGGCAACTCGAACATCGAGAGTCACGGAGCAACTACCGGACCTCATCCGACGACACGGTGCTTCCCCAGATTTCTTCTCCACGACTGGCAATACGGCAGTTAATATAGAGTGCTAATAGTGAGCCTGCGACGCGATGGCCCCCGCTTAGAGTGTAAAGACATGCATCTTTTCACATACAAATGCCTCCATAGATCTTGTACTTCGCGACTGCATTCCATCATTATCAGCATTACCCTAAAGATTCTCACACACAATGGCCGACATCCAAGCAGACCGTAAAGGCATTTCCTCCGAGCATGAGCATATTGACCCGCCCGAGAAACCTCAACATCTGGCGGGGGTCGACGCAGAAACCGCAGCCTATGCATCTGGCCCTCCGGTCGAGATCGACAAAGCTACCGATCGACGACTTTTCTGGAAGGTCAATAAGCGAATACTCGTATGCATGGTTGGGGTATGTTTCAGGTGTTGAGGGTAGACAGCTACCATCACTAATACTATGGCACAGACGTACTTCTGCCAAGCGCTTGATAAAGGCACTCTAGGGTTCAGTTCTATCATGGGCATTCAGGAGGATGCCGGTCTCGATAGCAATAAATATAACTGGCTCGGGACGATCTTGTACATTGGAGTGCTTGTTGGGGAATATCCGACCAACTTCTTGGCTCAGAAATTACCGGTCGCTAAGTACCTTGCGGCAAAGTGAGTTTGCATCCGATATGTGAGGATAATGATTGACTGGAATAGTGTATTTCTCTGGGGAGTGGTCATCGCAGTATGTCCGGCCTGATGTCGCTCTACGATGACAGCAACTGACATATCCCAGTGCAGCGCGGCCGCCACGAACTTTCCTGGGTTGATGGTCGTTCGATTTCTCTTGGGGTTTGTCTACTGGTCTTGGACATGTTATCACTCTAACTTCTTCCCAGCTGCTTTGAATCTTGCGTCCAGCCAATCTTTATTCAGATGACGTCCATGTGGTATACCCGCAAGGAACAGCCAATTTTAACAAGCCTATGGAACTGCAGTAAGTACTAGCCTCCCCGCGAGCATTTCTCATGACTAATTGTGGCAGTGATGGGCGTCCAGATGATGGTACTCATTCTCTCACCTATATCCATACTACTCTAACATCACATAGGTAGGAGGTATCATGGCCTGGGGCACCAGCCATTATATAGGGCATGCCATCAAGTCCTGGCAACTTCTTTTCCTCGTCCTCGGCGTGGCAACTTGTGTCTGGGCTGTATTCCTAGCTTGGTACCTCCCCGACAGCCCAATGAAAGCGAAATGCTTCACCGAGGATGACAAACGTCTGCTCGTGGAACGGGTCCGGGCAAACGAAACCGGGATCCAAAATAAGACCTTCAAGCGATATCAGCTGGTGGAAGCCCTCACGGACCCTATCATCTGGCTTTATGTCCTCATGCAGGTGTCAAGTACACTTGTTCTTGGTGGTTTAGGTGTCTTCTCCAATATCATCATCAAAAGCTTCGGATTTACCACGCTGCAAACACAGTTGCTCAATATCGCACAGGGTGCTGTCACCAGCGCCGTCATGGTGGGCGGGGCTTCGTTGTCGTCCTGGACGGACCAAACCATCTGGATTATGCACCTATGGACAATGTAAGGACCGTCCTGCTTCTGATAGTATATACTAATATACCATGTCAGCCCTCCCATAATCGGCACCGCCATTATTTTCACTATCGCGCCAACCGAGTCTACAAGGGTTGGCCTATTGATCGCATTTTACTGCACGCAGTTCATCTGGGCCGAAGGAAACCTTCTATTCTCACTAATCTCCCGCAATGTCGCCGGCCAAACGAAGAAGTCGACTGTACTTGCCATGACATTCATTGCCTGGGCCGCGGGCAACGCGACCGCACCACAGGTATGTACATCCCGTTGACCATCACCATAGCCCATCTCAACTAAACAGAACAAATAGATATTCCAGTCCTCCGACGCACCACGCTACACCAAAGGCTTCACGGCCCATTTCTGTCTCTATGGAATCATGAATGGCACGCTACTTGTGACGCGATGGCTCTTAATTCGTCGGAATAAAGGACAAACAGACGCTACTGCAGTCCCTGTTGCTGAGAATGGTAGTCCTGAAGATATCGGCCACTCAGGCGCTTTCTTGGATATGACGGATGTGGAGAATCCGGATTTTCGGGTAAGTGCGTTCTGTTATTCTGTTTCGCTCATTGCTGATGGTTGTAGTACGTATACTAGCTTTGTGTTTCGTACGTGCGCTATAGTTGGATGGATTCAGGTATATCATATACGTATAGCGTTCAATTCCAAGTTTCATGACCCAGTAACGCTCTTTGTCGAGGTCAAGTAGGCTACGCAGCTGTCCTCCCAGTAGAAGTCGAGACAATGGAGAAAGGTGTGGTTCAGAGGATGGGCTTAGGATGTTCCCCACAATGCGCCTTCGAATTATCGCTCTTGAAAAGCTCCCCTGCCCCTAAATCGCGCCCTAGTGGCCTTTTTCAAAAGGCTTGTGGTACATGACCGTTGTGTCGCCACTGAATAGATCACTTAAACCATTAAGTAGGCCGATATACTGCGATACAGTCTCGCCTTTCGTAGCCCAGGCGAACTCCAAATCCTCATATGGCTCAAAGCACATCGACACACGGGACCCCAACCTTTTCCTTCAAGAAGCACACAACGTCATCAATCTCATCAGGCACTTTATACCAGTGTCCAAACTCTTCATACACCTTCCAAGTCACGTCCATCCCGAACGCCTCGGAAAGGGTAGATGCCATGTGCCGTCCTAGGTCTACCGACACTTTAGGATCTGCTGCGCCATGCCCCAGAAACACAGGCGCATGTAAGTTGGACAAGGAAGGTTGCTGCAAAGACGGGAGGCCAAGAATATCTCGAATATGATTGATCGTCTGGATATGTCCCGGGACATTCTCACCATCCGAATCGTCATGAGAGAAAGGATCATCATCTTCAGTCACAGACTCATCTTCACCAGATCCCAACAACCTCAATATCTCTCGTTGAAAAGGCAGCCACCCGCTCATTCCAATAAATCCGCCAAGCTGCTTGGTCTCGCCATCTTCAGGAAAGCCCCCAAGAAGACAGAAGACGGACGTGGCACAACCTTGACTCAGTCCCCCGATGATGACGCGACTATAATCATCATTCAAAAGGCGTGTCTCTTCATCAATCAATCCGCGCAAAAAACGACTACTTTCCTCAAGTCCATCGACCTGTAAATCCGTCCTGGTGTTTGGATCTTCCAATGAGTAATTGTCAAACCACTGGTTGATGGGGATCCGTTTTAGCACCGTGGAGCGACGTTTCCTAGCGGTCAGGAAGACGAATTTCACTGTTGGCAGACGTCGCGCGATGTCGGTTGATTCGAGGAAGACCTGGCCAAAGCGCTCGCCGTTGCTGCCACGGCCATGGAGAAGAATAATTGTATGGGTATGTTGGTCGCTCTTTTGAGGTGCGATCACCAAAGGAGCGGGGTAAGGCTTAGAGCCCAGCATGTTGGAAAGTGGTTGGAATTCAATCCGCTGGAAAACAAAAAAAAAGCTGGCGCTTACATCCTTGGAGTCGTGAACACGTGAATTGGGTCGAACCCTAACATGCTACATTACCAAGCATGATTTGACCGTTCATATTATTCTATTTTCCACATTTCACACAAAGACACTGGTTGGCTTGGTCAAGAAGCTCGGTATAGTCGTTAAGTTTAAGGTCCCGCGAACCTCAAAGGCTGCCTCGTTGGTGTACCCTTGAGCTCTGCATGCCTTTCCACATACATACTCGGCTGCATTTTTTTGTCTCATTGCCTTGCCATTTTAGGTAGGGTACCAGTGGACATGAACCTCAAGCTTGCCGACCGGGCCGAACCTATGTTCAGCTTGGGTGGACATATCCCAGCATTCAACACCCCTCATACGTGGCCTCCCTTTATAACTCTAAAAGCTACTACGGTGTACTCGCCACAGCAAATCTGGTGGTTGCCAACATATGTACTGGTGCATGAAATAGGTCTTCCAGTACTACCGCAAGTATTGACAACATCATTGGCATGAAGACAACCCATGCATTTCTGGAACTTGAGCACAGGTAGGGCGAGGAATTTCAATCTCGGCAGGGGGGACAAAATTCCGGCTTCACGACTGGGTGAGCATGTTATATAAACATTCTTGGGATCCACTGAAAAATCTCAGGACTAGCTAACATAAAATTGTGACCGGTACCTAAACCGTCCAAATTATCTGCTCTAACTAGAGTGCGACCATCGGTATTGGACGGGCTCGTGGATCCACTGGTCTCAAGTGTCATGTTGGTCCATGTCAGTCAATGTGGCAGAATATTTCGATGCATTCGGACTTCTAGACATCATGAGTGGCTGTAATCCTACCCAGCTACGGAGTTGCACCACTGAGGGCTTCTTGTATGATATCATATCTTGCGGGATGTAACCGATGCATCGCATGCAGGCAGAGTAGCGGCGTCTCCTTCCACATAAACTGCTCTTCGTCCGTCTTCCTATTTTCTTTTCGCTGTTCTTCCAACATCCTGTGTGCTTCATAACATATATTTTCTTCCTTTTTCGTTTTCCATTTCTACTGCAGGAGGCAATGTTCAGCTAACTCATGACTAATTCCAAAATACACAATAGCAAGAAGGGTTGTTGACCACATTGTGCCATGTCTGGAATAAGACAAGCAGCGATAGCAGCAGCCAGCGCTGCAGCAGGTGCAGGTGCTGCGCTTCTATACACATCAACAGTTCAATCACGTCAGCCTGAACCGACACTCGAGATCATTCCTCCGGATTCGCAAGGTATCTCCCCGCTACCTGGTATCCGAACCAAAGCTCTTCCAGTCCAAATTCCCTCTCCCGGTCTTGCGATACCACCCTCCATTTTTCCCAAGGTCGATCCAACCGGCATTCTAAAATACGGCCACCCGGGCCCAGTGATTGACGAATTAAAAGCCCTCCCTTTCTACGGTGCATACGACCGTCGCACGCGGAATCCACTTTGGGTCGCAGAACACATAACACCAGAATCACTCGCTCAGACTATCTCATCACGCAGGGACAACTTTCGGGAAGATCGCAGCATCCCCAAGATTTTTCGCGCAAAGGTGAGCGACTACTCCAGAAGCGGGTATGACCGCGGGCATCAAGTCCCCGCTCAAGATGCGAGGTGGGATCAAAAAGCGCTCGACGAGACCTTCAAGATGTCCAACATGTGTCCGCAAGTCGGCAAAGGGTTTAACAGCGGCTACTGGCTTCGTCTGGAGGAGTTCTGCCGCAATCTGACCACAAAGTATCCCTCTGTGCGGATCGTGACCGGTCCTTTATACCTGCCGCGTAAGGATGACAATGGCAAATGGCGCGTTAGCTACGAGGTTATTGGCTCCAGTGAGGTGGCCGGTGCAGAGGATATCAGCCTGAGGGAGAATAACAACTTTGCACCGAATGTAGCCGTTCCTACGCATTTCTTCAAGATTGTCTATGGGGAGGAAGAACCCCAGGATGAAGACGGGAATGAGAGTTCCACAGGTGAAGTTGCACTGGGGGCGTTCGTCCTGCCAAACGCTCCGATAGATACCTCCAAGAAGCTGGTAGACTTCGAGGTCGATGTTGCCCATATCGAGCGTGCCAGCGGTCTGGAGTTTGTGAAGAATCTGGATCCCAAGCGGCGGAAACGGCTCTGTAAAGAGGTTGAGTGCGATATCTCAGTTAAGGATTTCAGCGATAAAATGAAATCCAATCTGTGATAAGTATTGTCATAGTGTTTGTTTCCGGTGAGAAAAAATGAAAAAAGAACGGGGTTTTACTGGGGAGTATAATCTGTCTTCTTTACTTCGGGGCTCTCAACGGCAGCATCCGGCTTCTGCAATGAGGCTATACCGGAGTTGAAAAGCTGGATGGAACGCCAAAGTGCTGCAAGAAATGTCTACAGATTGCTTGTAGATATGATGAAGTCTTTTATAAGCATGCACTTCCTTCTTTGAGCAGGTTTAATGCTTTGCGTTTTGATTTGAGCATCCGCGTCCTCTTCTTTCCCATCTTGCTCTGACAAGCGTCTATCCTATCGTTGTGGATGTCTGGTATACGTCAATCTATCCGACCGTCTCACGACCGTGTCTACTGGAGTATATTTTTAGATGTGGGTCACCCAGTACCCACAAAATTTACAAAAATAGTAAACTACTGACTGGTTCCCCCTGTGTCCAACAGGTGTTCTCTTCCAGTTTCTTGAATGGCCCCAAAGTGGTATCCTTGGATGCTTCTTATCCCTGATAACGCTTACTGGTTCCCGCTAAATACAAGTGGGTTGTTCTCAAAGGTCTAGCCATGAGGGCCGAACGTCTTTGGCCAAAAGCCTGGATGGTGAGATTATAGTGTAGTTTAGCTCGACACAGCTCAAGTTGTCGAATCATCTTCTTCCCCTCGCCTACTACGGGAAACTAGGCAACGAACTTGGCTCCTCGTGCAGCTTCGTTTCACCTCCAAGTGTTCTCTGTATTGTTCTCTACCACACATGCTTCAACGAACCTACAAGTCTAGATCTATCCACGCCACTACCCCTCTGTAAAGCGATAGAAAATGTCCGACTTCGACGCCCTCCTGGCCGACTATACTATCAAAGAAAACCCCAAGGTACACGGAGTAATATGCAAATGCGTAGATAAGAATGGTATTACATGTTGAACATAACTCCATCCTCAGATCCTAACATGAACCCTAGGAAACGAAATTTACAACAAAATAGCGGGCTACAACTCCCTCGCCGCAGATGCCGCACCCCTCCATGAATCCGCCGTCCTCAAACTCGCCAGCGCCACAAAGCTCATCACCAGCATCGCACTCCTCCAATGCATCGAAAAAGGCCTCATTACCCTCGATTCACCCCTCGCCGAGATCCTCCCTGAGTTCGCCAACGTCCAAATCCTCACCGACGTCTCGGGATCAGACTTCACCTTCGAACCAAACAAAACCGGCATCACGGCGCGACATCTTCTGTCGCATACTTCCGGATTGGGATATCCGTTCACCAATCGATTACTAGGTCTTAGGGCAGAGGCCAGAAAGCATCTTACACCTTCGCTCCGCGTGACGGAGAAATATGGGTATCCGTTAGTGTTCGAACCGGGCAGTGGATGGTTATATGGCTGTAGCCTCGACTGGGCCGGAGTGGTTGTCAGTCGTCTACATGACGGGATGTCCTTAGAAGAATACATGATCGAGAACATCTGGAAGAAAGTAGGCCTTTCGGCTCCCTTCCCGCGATTCAATATCTCAACCCATCCCGAATACAACGCACGAATCATGCACGGCGCCGTGCAAACCAGCGACGGACGACTGGAACCCTGCGATAGCTGGGTCTTCGATAACCCCGAAGATCAAGAAGGGGGCAGCGGCCTCTCCTCCACGGCGAAGGACTTTCTCGCCGTGCTGGCAGATTTGATCTCGGAGACTCCCAAACTATTGAAACCGGAAACCATCTCGGAGATGTTTACGCCGCAGCTTGTGCCTGGTTCGGCCAGTGTGAAGATGCTCCTAGAGTTACGGCCTGCGTGGGCAACTGTAGCTGGGCCTATGGCGGATGATGCAGTGAATCATGGGTTGGGTGGTGTGTTGTGTACTGGGCCGGCGCCTGAGATAGGGCAGCCTGCGAATGTGCTGGCGTGGGGCGGGGCGACCAATATTGCCTGGTGGGTTAGTCGCGAGTTGGGTGTCGCGGGCTTTTTTGCGACGCAGCAGGCTCCGTTTGGGAATCCGACGGTGACGGGGCTTGTGAATGCCTGGAAGAGAGATTTTTGGGAGGGGTTTAATCGGGTGGGTCATGTCTAGGTAGGACTTCGTTTGCTTGGAGTATTCCTGGAACAATGTGTAAGAAGCCACAGCCTGTCTGACACGATGCAATTGGGAATGGCGAGACACTTCGGACCTGCATTGGTTTGGTACTGGAAATATTATGTAATAGATTTAAGAGTACGCTATAAGATGGATATTAAAATGGCTCCAGCTCGGAGCAAGTGCCGGCCACAGCTCCGGGTTGCGGAATCCCCATGGGGAAGACGTCGGAGATGCGACATCTGCGAACCACTCGGCGCAGAGCAAATATGATAGCCAACTTCCCGGTGGGGGTAACGGGTGGGGTGCAATAAAAAGCGTCGTGCTGCGGTTCAGTTACCACGATCGCGACAAGCAAATTGAGGGGGTCCAGGAAGATGCTGCTAGTGAGTCCCCATCCCCAATTTCTCTCATTCTTCTACCTAATGTGGGCCCCATCTTAGAATAGAGTAATAACCGGATACGCGGCAATTGTTGCCCTCAGCATTGGCTTGGCTCATGCCACCGTACTCGATATACCTGGTATATTCCCGGCCATCCCTGGGGTGGCCCCATTCGAGTCCGTCGACACGGCACCGTATTTCAAAAGATACCCTGGAGACTTTGTCCATCCCGGAATTTGGCATACACATGAGGACCTCGAGCGCATGCGGGACAATGTGCTCCGTAGCAAAGAGCCCTGGGCATCGGCGTACCAACGCTTCCGCGCCGACCCATACTCCCTCGCCAATTACACGATGGAGGGACCCGCCGCTGTGATTTCTCGGGGTAAAATCAGTAACTATACGTCGTTTGCGCATGACGCGCGAGCCGCATGGCAGAACGCCCTGATGTGGTATATCACCCGCGATCAATCGCATTGGGGCCGCAGCACCAGCATCCTGGACGCGTGGGGGTCGAATCTGACGGATATTGTCGGCATTGACCGGTCGCTGCTGATTGGACTGGACGGAGACCTGTTCGTCAACGCAGCTGAGATCATGCGATGGGAAGGGAATTGGACGGAGTCCAGGAGTAGATGGCAGGGGGGCAGTGGGTTCAGCAATCAGCTGTACTGGCTGTTCTCCCGACAGTCTGTCGCCATTGGGCAGGCGAACTACGGAATGGCCAGCATTAAGGCATTGATGAGTTTCGCAGTGTATCTGGACGATGTGCAATTGTATAATTATGCCATTCATGCGTTCATTCATGATCGTTGCGCCGGGTTATTGGCCATGTACAACCCCAAGACGGGGCAGTCGGTGGAAGCGGGGCGTGATCAAGGTACGGTACCTCCTTACTTTCCGGATTCACACCGACCGGCAAGGCAGGCATGCTGACAGCATCAGGCCACACCATGTCGGGCATCGGGTGGACGGCGTACGGCGCTCGTGTTGGGCAAAGCCAAGGCAGCGATCTTTATAGTCTCGGGGGTGGCTTGTTACTCCGAGCGGCCGAGTACGCCGCGAGGTATAACCTGAACCACACCGTCTTTTATGACCCCCAATGGTACCGGTGTGAAGCAGTGCTGGTCAATGGCCCGTGGCAGAACATATCCGAGGCCAATCGTGGAGTCACCAGCAACAACCCCATGTGGGACATTCTATTTTATGAATATGTGGTGACGCGGGGAAATGACGGGCCCTGGACCACAGCCGCGAAGGAGGCCCAGGGGTTCGCCGGTGGAGTCTCCTCCAATGACCACCCCAGCTGGGGAGATCTGATCTGGGCGCGGTAATTCGTGAGGTTCATGCGGGGTTCGTCGGTTACCCCGACGGAGTTGCGAGCACTAGTACAGGTCTAATACCTGGAGAGGAAGTCCTTGCGGATGTCACCCTATGCTGCCAGGGAGACGGGGTTGAGACGCCAGATGAGATAATAGATATTATTCATTTCCGTTCCGTTCCGACCGGGTAGACAGGAATTGGGTCAGGGTTCATCTCTCCATGACAACATGATCATCCCCATGCGTAGAAAATAACATGAGAGTCATGAACAAGTACTGAAGCATTGTTTGGTGGCGATATGAGTGACAATCTGTCATCCTCAACCTAATTGTTTGTCAGGGTCCAGCTCGAGACCATGTGCCGGCAACTCTGAGCCGAAGAGGCGCTAAGGCCCAAAGCGGGAACGGCGTAGAAGATTCCGTTTTGAGCATGCGGAGAGAACGTGCCCAGACGCAGACGAGTCAAACAGTCCAAACGTGATCCGCACGAAGCCACCGATTAGAGTTGCGCCACCGCCGCATCCGTTGACAAACCTTAAAACCTTGGAGATCCGTTTGATTGCACACGTGCCGGGTCTGGGGTCGACGGATTGACAGGATTCAAGCACCGTGTGTCAATGATGAGGAGACCGTCGACACTAGTTTGCAATCGGTAGGTGATTCGACGTCTCATGAATCACATTGTGTCTCGATCCTCGTGTGCCCAGGGCCTGTTTTCTCTGACTCACACTAATGCTGACGAAGTGGAGTCGGCAGCGGCTCTAATGCAGGTTGTGCTCCCGACATCGGACCAGTCGGACGGAAAACTCTTAATTTGCCTTCCGATTTGCCAATCATCGCCTGCTATTAACTAACGCATTCCTCCCGCGTCCATAAGGTTTCGCCTCTCGCCTTCTCGCTCTTTCCTCTGCAATTTATTTACTACTTTAACACGCCTTCCCCCCGCGCACACACATCTTCAACACCGTGTGTGCATTTGATTTGCAATTGCAATCATCATGGCGTCGTCGGATGTCAAAGATATTGAGCATGGCTTGGATCGGAGGGAGAATGACTCCGAGAAACCTCCTTTCGAGGAGGACAACCTGAAAGAGGAGCCTCCTCAGCTCGAAATGGACGCTTTCGGTGCTGAAGAGACGGCGGAGGTCAAGTACAAGACCTTGGATTGGTGGTATGTGTGATCGACATTCCCGGGAATCCTTCTAGAAGCCCGACTGACACAAGGTGCTATGATAGGCAATGTGGAATCCGTACGACTCCCCGCGCACAATGACGAAATACATGCTTGAATCAGTGTACTAACCATCATGATATAGTCATGATCGCTGAAACGGTCTCCGTCGGTGTCCTATCACTGCCAGCCACACTCGCATCCATTGGTCTTATCCCGTAAGCATTGCGCCACGTTCAATTCAGGCGACACCACCGTTACTGACCCCCACGCTCTAGGGCAATCATCCTCATCGTCGGTCTTGGTATTGTCACCACCTACTCGGGTTATACCATCGCACAATTCCGACACAAATATCCCTACGTGCATAGCATGGCCGATGCAGGTTTCATCCTCATGGGTCCCATCGGTCGTTATGTCATCGAAGTCGGACAGCTGCTGTTCTTCCTGTTCGCTTGTGGCAGTCACCTGTTGACCTTCACCGTCATGATGAACACCCTGACGGACCACGGCACCTGTTCCATCGTGTTCGGTGTCGTTGGCTTGGTTCTCTCCTTGATCTTCTCCTTGCCCCGAACCATGAAGAACGTCTCTTGGCTTGCCGTGACCTGTAAGAACCCATTGATCTCTGCGCTATGATATAGTCCGTTGGTTGACCATGGAATTCTAGCCTTCTTGAGTATCTTCACCGCCGTCGTCATCACTATGATCGGTGTCGGCATCGAGCGCCCCGGATATGACGAGATGCAGCTCACTCGCAAGACCAACTTCGTCACCGGCTTCACCGCAGTAACCAACATTGTTTTTGCGTACTGTAAGTCTTCTCTTGGATGTTCTATGTTCAACAACACGTGGCTAACATGTGCGCGCAGGTGGTCATCCCGCTTTCTTTGGTTTCATCGCAGAGATGAAGAACCCACATGACTTCCCCAAGTCCCTGTGCATGTTGCAGGGCTTCGAAATCATCCTGTACACCGTTGCTTCGGCCGTCATCTACCGCTACGCGGGACAGAACGTCGCCTCCCCCGCTCTGGGCTCCGCGGGTCCGGTGGTGCGGAAAGTTGCCTACGGTATCGCCATCCCGACCATTGTCATCGCTGGTGTGGTTCTGGGCCACGTGGCCATCAAGAACGTCTACGTGCGCATGCTTCGTGGAACTGAGTTGATGCACAAGCGGAATTGGCGCAGCATCGGTGTCTGGATCGGTCTGGCCGTAGTCTTCTGGGTCATTGCCTGGATCATTGCCGAGGCCATCCCCGTGTTCAGCAACCTGCTCAGTCTGGTCAGCGCGCTCTTTGTCAGTTGGTTCACCTTCGGTCTTCCCGGTGTCTTCTGGCTTTACATCTATAAGGGCCAATACTTTGCCTCGCCGATGAAGATCTTCCTCACTCTGTGCAACGTGTGCTTGTTCATTTTCGGTGTCATGATCTGTGCCCTGGGTCTGTGGGTGTCCGGCGTGGCCATCCACAACGATAAATCGCACGGCAGCTTCACCTGCGCCAATAACGCCGTATAAACCCCGGTGGTTTACGTTTCCATAATAATCTCCTAATCGGCCGATCACTCAAGACTCTACTCCTACCAGACTTCCACCGTCCAATTCGCGACGGTTTTCCCGTGAGAAACCATGACGATGCATCCTCCCGTCGCGTTTCTCGCTACATTCATATTCCCTTGCAACAATGCCCGCATTCGTCGATATCTACGGGCCTGAAAAACGGCCATTCATTCGCGACTGCAGTTGTACCGAGTCAAGGGAAACACCCCACCGTTTCTAGCGAGCCCGCCCGAGCTCATACATCATCGGGTACGATATCAACACCACACTCCCTGCATCACGGCGTGAATGGGTTTTAGAGTTGGGAGCATTGGAGTTTTGAGCTTTTGATTGTGGCCATTGTACAGTCGACCAATGCATTGTATTATAGATTATGCATCACAATTATACCCCCATAGAATTCTTATCTCTCCATGTGTAACGCTTGGTTTTCTTCAGGTCCTGTGGGGCTGTTTCTCTAATTTAGCCGTATGATTAGATTCTTCAGCAAATCTCGCGTTCCTTGGTTCGTCCTATGCAGCAATGGCGATAGGCGGCACCTTAATCACGACGGTCATCAATCGCCGAACCTTAATAGATTAACATTCGGTTGGTCGCATCTGTCACTTACCCTTTTCGGAGATATGTTTGTCTGTAGGGCTTAGCGTGAAGAACTGCTGGTAGAACTACTACTAGTATATCTTCCTCCCCGACCAACCACAGTTCAGTAATTACTACATCTTGTCCATAGACCATAACATGCGTACCGTGAGCATAGTGAGGTTGCTTCAGTCTATATTTGATTCTCATGCTGTACAATGATCATGGATCGATGACTCGGTACGCTTGGACATCAGGTTATATATATTTCGTAGCATGCCGGGATAGACTGAAGAATAAACGCGCAACAGAAGCGGATGTCCCCCAATATGATAACCAAGGAATCCAGCTCAATATTGCCAACTTAACCCATTACTTTCCGTCATCATTGAACGGCCCAGTGCAGATATTTGCTCGAATGCCTGCTGGTGAGTCTAACGTCGTGGCGTAAGTCATGCAGAGAACCGGGCTAGTCTGACTCCGGTTAGGTACCTCCGCGCTGACGAATTCACGTGACAGCTCCCTTTGAGGAAGGATGGGAAAAAGTCTATCGGGAGAATCGGCGACGACATGAGAAAGTTATTGATGACAAATTTAGGAATCTTAGAGCTCAAAATAAACTGACGGAGAGCGACGGCCCTACACCGAGTCCTTGCCCCGTGTTTATGGCGTGGAAATTTATTGCTGATGGCAAAGATTTTACCATGGTACACCACGCTATTACGTGCTATGATATATTCTTATATACTTAGCTTAGTCAGCAATTGGGAGAATAGCTCAGTTGGGAGAGCGTTTGACTGAAGTCTACTTCGATCAGCAACTACCATTAGGTAATCAGAAGGTCACCGGTTCGATCCCGGTTTGTCCCATTTTTTGTCGTTTTTGGATCTCTAGAGACATGCCTAATCCGCGTACCGAGCAGTAATACATAAAGAACACTGGAAATTCGGAAAAATCGAGCATGGAACAAGGTGCGTTGCATAAACGAGGCTAGGCTCTAGTGATGAAGCTGTCGGGAAGTTGATCGCCACCCCTGCATATTCACATGGCATGGTTATATATACTCAATGTGTAGCGCTTTGAACTTTCAGAGCAGTGCAGTGGAGTGATTTATCAAGCCTTGCGGTTTGATCCTTTACATCTATACTATTCAAATATGCTTTGTGGGAGTTGGCGGCCCGGCTGATATTCGAGAACACACCAAGAGAAGGGAAAGGGGCACTAGAAAGTGTTAAGTCCGATTCAGTTACATCCTTGATCACATTCTCACAGTAAATCTGTGGACTATTCGCCGCCACAATTAGCCATCCTTTCTTTCCTTCTTCCCTTCCCTTCCGACTGCGTGGTGGAGTGGGCCGAGTAATCGACGTAGCAACGGCTTAAAACCAACAGGCTTAAATCCCATATAAGCTCACATATATCAAGCAAAACCGGTGTAACGAAGAAGATGTTTTTGCACGGAGCACTTCATTTGGATAGAAGTTAAAACTTATCGTATCTCAACATCGGTTGAGTTTCCGATCGACCAGCAACAATAGCGGATGTTAAATATATATTGCTTTTTCATACCAACGTACCGAATGCCTGGCATATGGACAACCACAGTACCCTAACGTATTATGAGCTGAATTATTCGAAGAAATTAATATATTTTACTTCAAGAGCCCACAACCGCGCAATGAACTATGAGTTACTATCGGAAGCCCTAATCCTGAAATATGGCTTTTTTTTGACCCTATTTCCCAAATAGGCTACTAACTTGATATATGCCTAGATAGGAATCAAAGAGGTTACCGAATTAGGGTACCAGTTACCAAGATAGGTGATGTTCTGTCCCATATTTACTGCAATATTGGTTCTATTTGATGGAGTGGCCCGAGTGGGTAAGGGAACGTGGCGTGTCTGAGGTGGGTACCAATAATGAACGAGAATCCCCAGCCTGCGAGGGTATTTATGTACAGACCACATCGTTTTCGCTCTAGTTTAGCTAGAATAAAGCGTATTAACCCTGGTTAAGGTTGCACAATGAATAATCGATATCCCATAAGCGCTGGACTATTTTGCAGATCAACTGATTTAGTGACGTCCGCGCCCTGCTCTCTGACAGTTGGAGCATGAAATTTCTGACCTAGTGGAGTATTGCTGCGTATATAAAAATCCATCCCGTGAATTTCCCCTGATTACCACGCTGGTATTGCGTTACCCCCTCTGATTAGAGACGCTGTTGCCCGCCAGAAGATGTACAGGCCCGCCACTAAGAATGAGTGGTGGTTTTGTGGGACTCTTTTGATGCAATTGTTCCTGGTCCTTATCTTGGAAATGTCAGTGTAATTGTCCACAGGTATTAATTCTTTATCCGTCTAACGAGTAACAGATACATCCTCCTTCAGTGGAAATCGTGGGTCCAGCCCAATATCATCCAAATCGCCCCTTCCTACGTGATTCCCGTGGGCATGGGTATTGTCATTTTCGCGTGTGTTTACGAAGTCGGTCTATCCCTGGATGCAATCCACCACAAAAACAATATTTCCTTGCTTGCTATATGCCTCACCAACGTCTGCATTGTGGTGTATGCAGTCCTGCAGTACATTAAAATGCGAGATGTTACCTATTCACTACAAGGGACAACGGACGGGATGGGCAATCACCTCGTGGATTGGTCTCGGGATATCTGGCCATCAATGCAACCGGCTGAAGTAGCTATTCAGGCTGTTCTAGCCGTTTCTTCGCTCGTTATCATACCTGCTGCCTATCGGCTACACACGGACTATGCTTGGGCAATTTATAAATGCATCCATGGCAGCCCAGAGCTGCGGTTGCGGTATCTAGCCTACGAGGTACGCATCTCGGACATGATATCTCGCGGTCGGACTGACCTCGTCCAGATCTACTTGGTCCTAATTAAACTCGATTTCTTTTTCCTGACTGGCTTTATCATCCAGTATGACCTGATTGACGTGCATTTCATGGAGCCTGAATATTCCTTGACAATGGCACTCATTCCCGTTTCCTTACTGGTGATGGTCGCCGGTACCTACTGCGTAAAGTCGGGGCTCAAACTTGCCTTGATGGTTGTGATCGTGAGCCTCCCTTCATGTGGCCGAGTCCTAAGTACTGACGATGTACAGGCATGCTACCTCGGATCAGTTGCATATCTCCTTAGCCGGATCGTTGTGCTTTGCGGTAACTCACTGCTTGGCAGAACTGCAGGCAAGGAAATGATGTTGTTTTTTGCCGCTGTCGCGTTGGTTCTTATCGTACTTACTGTGGGGTGTGCAGTGCAATGCATCTTGAATCTCAACTACGGGTTAAAGATTGCTCCAGGCGACAGTCAAGGGCGACAGAGTTCTCATGGTGTCCAAACACTTGCTGCGCCCATGAGCCCTTGTATTGATACTTTATCTCATCGCCGCCTGTCACTTGATTAGTTGCAAAGAATAGTACTGTGCAACGGCTTCCAGCGGCAACAGTTTTCCCGGTAGCCTGTTTTAGAGTCGGACTAGCGCCCCGGGTCATTTCCGGATATCGTAAGGTGGGAAAGCTTACCAGGAGCTGAGCGTCTAAAGGCCAATCAGAGCTCTTTTTCAAACGCTGCCAAGGCCGCCGGAGTCTTCGATCCGAAGCCCTAGTCTATTTTTGTCTTTCTGGAAAATTTCTGGTCTCCAACCTGTTGCCTGTTATGAATTCAAGTGCTGCAGATCCAGCTGAGCCACTTGACCCCAACATTCTTGAGCTGAAATGTTGTAAGACATACATCTTTCTCTTTTCGCTCACCCCCCGGCGAGTCTCGAAGGATCTGCATCCTGTGAGCCACTATCATGTGCTCCCTCTTAAGACATAATGTGGCATAGGAATAACTTCGGGGTTTTGTTGATATCACTCCTACTTTTACCTGTACATGCAGCGTTTATTCGCCGTTTAGACTGCAGTCCCTCGGACGTTGCATCAGTCGATCCTATCTTTGAACCTCTTTCCTTCACGGGCTATCTAGACACTAAACATGCAAACACAACAATACTGTCCTTAACATTAAAGGGCAATTATGAGTCTCATAATTGTGAAGCCTTGGGCGGCGCATTGGCGCGGATGTCAATTGATGCTAGAGTGCTTGATCGTTCGGTTGTTACTGATGACCGCTTGTTGGATTCCAGTGGCGTCTGCCCGGAGCTCTCTCCGATCGATTACCCAAGGTACGCAGTGCATCCCCCAACAGGAAGCTCACTCAACGCTGACGATCCAGGTGGGATCCCCGAACGTACGCAACGTACCGAGCCTCGTACACATTGGATCATGCGTACCGCATGAACACCTTGGCCACGACCGTTCGCCTTCGGCTCAATGACACCGATATTTTATGTACCGCCGCCAATATTACCCCGTACATTGGCTCGACAGCATCAGGCTTATTGAAGGGGATCCCGCTACTCATCATGATTCTCACCGGGGTCATAAACGGCGCCCTCATGATCTGTCGAAGCCGTGGACGAAGAGTTTTCCGGTACGAGCTCGCGAATGCATCACGGGATCCAGCGGAGTCTTATTTCCCGGGGATGGGTGACTGCTTGCAGTACATCCAGTTCATCTTTCTGACGGGATGCCTGACGCTATCCTATCCTGGGTTCTTTCGGGCATCAATAGGCGAGCTCGCCTGGTCATCACTGGTTGTAAGAAACTGGCCCGTTACACATCAATTCATCTACCCCGGTGTTGAGGACAATATTTACTCCGTAAATGCGACTTACGGCTTCGAAGAGATGGCCCAGTATCTTGGGGCAACCACGATGAGTGACTTATGGACCAACGCCATCGTCAATCTCGCCCTAGTCATTCTCGGAGTTATAGTGGCAGCCCAAATCATATGGTTAATCAAATGCGCCTGGCAGTTGTTTCCAACCCGCGGCTCAACTCATATGATAGATTTTCCAACGGAGTTCCTCACCCACATCCAGCACGTGGGCTGGAGTGTCGCACGGATCCTCCTGAACTACTTTCTCCATCCCATCGTTGCGTTATCTCTCTACCAAACACGCTTGGCCACATGGTTCCCCTTTTATCGCACATTTCTCGCCGTGTCCTTCGTCGCAGCTTTGGCCGCATCGCTGGCATTCATAGTTCGGTACTTGGCCAAGGACGACCGACAAAACACATTCTTCAACAAGGGCTCCTACCCCAGAAACTCATCCCAAGACTGGCTTTCTGATACTTTATACATGGTCCCGTTCCTGCGGGGCTTAGCTATCGGCGCCCTGCAGACCTCTGGACTCGGTCAGATACTCGTTCTCATATCCTGTGAGATCTTCATCTTGGCCTGTCTGCTATGGAACTGGCGGGCCCAACAGGCCTGGAGACATGCTTGCTTCGCAACCGCCCGCCTGGTCATTATCGGGATGAGCTGTGCGTTCCTCCCTAGGGCTGGTCTACGTGAGGGAAACAAAGCCTTAGTGGGGTACTTTATTATATCCCTACACGCCGCCGTCCTGCTCACTGGTTTCTTCGTCGATTGCGTCTACGAGATGGTCCGGTTTGTCTTGTCAAAAGTGGGCATCATCGATCCCCGTCCAGCCGACCTGGATCATCACTCCGATAAAGCTCCTGTACGCTTCCCCCCAGAAACTCACATCTAAACCAAAAAGAAAATACTAATAAAAAAACGAAGGTCTTTGGCATCGGCCAACTCTCCCGACGCTCAACCCGCCGCATGTCATTTGCACGTCTCCCCGCCCTAAACCCAGCAGGTGAGTCCTCCATTTAACGAACCAAATACTGCATATATACTAAACCAACCCAGAAATCTCAGTCCCCTACGCCCAACGGCCCTCAACACCCCGCCGACCATCGTTTCTAGGCGACCTCCCAACCAGAGACGAATACACGTCTTTCTTTCGCGCCCCCAGATCAGAAACCACGTCCATCCGCTCAGCCTGGAGCGTCGTCTCTCCCTCGTCACCATCTCAATCTGAAAGTGAATCCCGCGGATCCAGCATGGAATCTGTGGAATTGGAAGCTCTAGATCTGGAGTCTAAATCGAGTGAACATGTGGATTACTCTTATCGCGAGGCGGATCAGTATTACGGTCGGCCGCCGACTTCTGCGCCGGTTGTTCACAATATGGTGCAGAGTCAAGGCGAATCTTCCAAACCAGGGAAGGAAAAGAAAAAGGAACATTGGAGGTGGAAAAGGAAGCAGAAGGAGAAGGGGTTTGAGGTTATTAGACCGAAGCGGACAGTTGCTCAGTAACCTTATATTTCGTTGTATTATAGTTATTACATGCTCACCGAGGGTCTAGAAATAATGTTTTATAATATCTAAGGCTAACGTGTTCCTAGTTGTAGTTGATTCTGCTCCATGAGACAGCTACCAGAATTCGCTAGTTTTATCTCCCAAACAGCACATCTCATGGAATATGTCTACTCAATACTGACAGAACTATGGATCGTGTCATCTTTCTTAAGCTCGCTTTCACACATTCGACATGGTAGTATTAAATGGGCTTGGAGTGAGCATGGCCCAATCTGTCGTCGGATAAAGAGCCATGGTCGAAAGAGCGAGAATACTTTGAAACTACTGTATGTAAAATTACTGGAAGATCTAAAAACACATCAACCGTATGATACAACACAAATCCACCAGCTCCGTTACTCATCAGATATCATTCCTCGTCTAAAACACGTACGCCCGAAAGGTAACGCTGCTCGCATCTTCATCATCGACAGCATAACAATCAAAAGCCAAATCGAGAGCCCAGAAGAACCCACAATTAAAGCCAGTAGGGAGAAAGGCAATACTCTATCTGTATTAAGCCCCAATCTCACACATTCACATTCTCAAGCTGCACAACATTCCCAGACTTGAAGTTCCTCGGTACGACATTGACCGCGAAATGCTCATCATACAGATCCCGACAGACGGCGTTCTTCTGGCGGAACACGTAGCGTTTGAACCACCACGGTAGCGCCTCAGTGAGCTGGTACTTGGCATGAGCGCGGGTCGACACGCTGAAGACACGGTCCAACTCCTCGAGGGATCGCTGCTTAGTCTCGGGCAGGAAGAGGAAGATCAGGACTAAGGCGACAATGTTCAGACCCGCGTAGAAGCCGAACGCACCCTGTGGCTTGAACTCTCGCAGGATGTACGGGAATGTGAGCGATAGTACAGCGGCCCAGAAGTTGTTCGTTGCGACTGCCCATGCCATACCGATTTCTCGATGGGACACTGGGAATACTTCAGCGGAGTAGGTGAAGGGCACGGGACCTTCACCAGGCGAGTAGAAGACGTTGAAGAGGTAAATGAAGAGTGCGATCGCACCCAGATGAGCGCTCTTTTGCTCTTCGGGAATCCAGAAACAGAAGCCTGCTGCTAAGAGGGTCCAGCACATGTTGGGGAAGGTGGCGAGCAGGAGCCAGCGACGACCGAAGGTGTCGATGGTCCACACAGCGGGCCAGGCGAAGAGGAAGTTGACGAAGCCGAAGCCGAAGGATGCGAGGAGCGCCTCAATGTTGCTAGCACCGGCCTTGGCAAAGATAGAAGAGGAGTAGAACGCGATGATGTTGACTGCGAACGTTAGTCTGACAGTGCTCGTAGGAGGGAGTGTGGGTAATACGTACTGCCGCACATCTGCTGTCCGATCATAACAATACCAGAGGCCTGAGTAGCGCGACGGTTTCGTGGAACGGTGAACAGTTCGATGAAACGCACAATCATGTTATCGTTCTTAGAGAATTCCGCAGAAGTCTCAATGAGCTTCTTCTCCATTTTCATCTGAGAGTGGATCTTGTAGAGGTCACGGGCTGCCTGGAGAGGACTGTTACGGAGTCGCAGCAGTGAGTTATATGCCTTGCGGGCCTTGTTCTTGGTCAGGAGCCAACGAGGGGACTCTGGACACCAATATACTCCAAGGAGCAATGGAACAGCGGGGATAAAAGCTGAACCAAGCTGGAGTCTCCATGCGATCGCACCTGTGTTGACCACGGCCAAATTCGCGCACGTTCCCAAGAAGATACCAAACGCAGTCCCTGATGAGTAGGAGAAAGGTTAGACACTGTTCGATACACGTCCGCATGAGCATAGAGTACTTACAGATCTGCCAGGACATGACGAGACCTCCACGGACGTTAGTAGGTGCATTTTCAGCCGAAAGGACCGGAACCGTCACTTCCTTCAGCCCCATTCCAATTCCAAGTAGTACACGACAGGCCATTAACTGACCCCACGACTGGGTTACGGCGCACGCGATGGGAGCGACCAAGCTGAACACTGCAGCAATGAAGATAACCCATTTCCGACCAAGCCAATGGTTCAAAGGATCGGAAATCCAGCCAGCACTGCGAGGTATTGTGAGCTCGATGACTAAATAGAAATTAGGTAGGAGATTACTCACAAAATAGCGATCGTCATGTAAGGTACGGAGTTAATGGCGCCGACAATCCACTGATTGCGACTACATTCAGCGGGAGATGTGCAGTCTGGAGGATCTTGTGGGATGCCAAACTGATGCGCAAAGGTAAGATTGGCACCGTTGGAGCCTACAAAGAACGTCAGTGAAAAGTTGAAAAGCTATAACATCGGCTGGCATGTACCTGTCTGGTCCCAACCTTGAATAGCAGCGGCGATGGAATTAAGGATGATGGTGTAATAGAGTGCCCATGGGTGCTTCCAGCGATTGGTCGTCTCTTGGCGCAAGTACTGATGATCCTCAGGGCTCAACTCTGGGATGTCGTCGTACTGATCCGGTCTCTGGGCCACCAGGGCGCCCTTCTTCAAGAGAGGAAGGATATCGTTCAGGTCATACTCTTGCGCATAGTCTTCCACATCGCGAAGGAGTTGATCTCGAGGAATACCCTGCAATGGGTTCTCGATGCTAAGGTTGAGAGATCAGCAGAGGAGCTACGGCCAAAGTATTGGGGAGGAGACATACTCAATAGGCCCCTGTGTTGCCACGTCTATCTGGCGCTCATGCGCAGCATACTTGGTTTCGTCCATTCTAAGAAATGAAGATTGTTAGTTGAAATAGCGCAGGGAGGAGAAAAATGGCACGACGCACATTACGTCTACGTTCCTTCCTGGCACTAAATCAGGGCACACAAGAAGATCATAGAGTTGTTCAATATTTTGGAACCCTCTGCAGGAATCAACCGAGTACAAATACTCGATGCGGATCTGGGGTCGATGATCTGGGGATGTTGGTGGTTCCAAGGATCCAATCTCTCAGTCTCCGCAAATATGGAGGAAGGTTTGGAGGAAACTGCCTCCCCCAGAGCTCACTTGTCCAATACACGCTGGGCCACTGTTAATCCCGCACACTGGGCAATAGCTGTAGCCCCACGAAGAAAGTATAGTGGGTTTCAAACCCGACGGTGGTCATTAACGGCTTGTTTGGTGGAATACGGGTTATCCTTTGTTGCTTCACGCCACCGCCAAGTGCCATTGGTAGGGTTGAAGCCAAGCCCCCCATGGAACCAAATAAAAGCCAATCTGGGGAGGTCTGAATGCTACTCTCGACTAGTCATTTAGTGCCCGAGCCTTAGCTTGCATGCCAGCCAAGTCCCTTTAAGCGAGTCGCGTGCCCTGTCATTGTCCGCATCCGGCAAAAATGAAGGCAAATCCATCTTCGCTTACTGGGTGATGCGCAGCTCCCTAGTACGCTAGAATCTCTGGCGATTTTCTCTGCAAGCTCGACTGACGCCTGTTGGTTATTGCATACAGATCGGAATTAACCCAATTGTTGCAGACCGGCCCGGTGCGAATTCACTGTAAAGTGCAAGGGACTTGTTACTGGTTGACTCTTAAGGCACCAGAATTTAGGCAGCCAGCGAGACGGTAGCATTTTAGGATGCAAGCCCGTACCGCGAGTCTAATCGTATTTACTGTCTTGATTTCTGCATGGACAGAACTTAAAATCTGTAGATGGTGTCATGCCGTTCCATCGCCCACCGCTACCGATTCATACCAGTTGTGTCACTCGGTACCACCACCAAAGCAGTCATTCACCGCTGCTGAAAATGAGGATAGTCGAGTTCAGAAGTCTTGTTCGACCAATTTGGTTTCTCTGTCGCCACCATGGTGCAAGCCACAGATCACACCACCAATATCATTGGCCCTTTTCTCCAGGCCGATGACGCTTTTGTGAATCCCTATCCTACGCCCAGTCCTGCCATGACCTGCGAACAAAGACCTATGAATTCTTCACTATACCAGTGACGGAAGCTTTTGTTAGCCCTATTGGGTTCGTTTTCCCCCAGAACCCCCTAAGAAGCTGTTGAGGGACGGTATTCTTTGTTCTTCGTATAGAAAGTATAAATGTACGCCGGATGCAGCATTGACGCAGTTTCAATGTAAACCCTAAATTCCTTCGTCCGTAGACTGGTCAGGTGGTGTGAAGATTCGATGCATCATCAATGACCCTAGTGAAAACCCTTTTCTGCTGCTTTCTGTTAGTGCCCATAATCATTCTAGAAGCCTTGGCAAAGACTATCTCTCCCCCGGACAATATGTGCCTGATTTCGAAGCTCGCACGGCTAGCCGAATAGAATTTCCCCTTTAAAATGCAGCGCTTAGTGACTTTGTTATTGTAGATAAGCACCAACAGCTGGCATGACAATGCTGCAGGATCGCTTTATCCTCAGGTTTATGTCTTCCTAAGGGTCTTATACGATTGGTAAAGCTACACAGCTCTTATCATTGGACATAGAGGAGGTGTGCGCTCACAACTGTGTTTCCTCTTGTGTGAGGCTTTCCTGATGTGTGGCAATTCTCGGTAACATAATTCGCCAGCAATAGATTTTGCCTTGTCATACCTATAGTCCAAGATGAGCTAAGGCCGACCAAATCCCACCTCTTCCTGTCTCGAAGGATTTCCATCTAGGTTGAGTAATAATTCCCTCGCCGGCCAGCCACATGACTTGGTCTTTGTCGTTGACTTGGCGTTGTAGGGACCTTGAGTCCATTAATCCCGACCCGTGGACTAATTTCACCTTGCGGTTTGTCCGTCCCTGTGCTTCTTCGAACATTAACTCTGACCGTATCTCGGCTCGGAGTATTTTATTGTTCTATTTATAAATCATGACTGGGGAGTGGCAAAAGCCGGTTGATTCAATCGGACTCGCGTTTGCGGTTCGGCTGTCAAACGACTGATTTCGCACAGGTGCCGGCATTGCCAATGAATCCGGGGGGTTGATATTACACAGTCTCCCGGTAAGATTCTTTCAATTGTTTAAGGAGACTGAACTGGTTATATTAATTACGTTATAGTTCGTAAAAAGTCTCGTTCGGTTGATATATTTCCATACCAGAATGGCCGCCTTCCAGCAGCTACCCCGCCAGAGCTTTTATCTAAGAGTATCTGGACTTTGGCCATTATTCCAGCTCCATTCCATGCAGCGCACGTAAATCTAACCCCTCTCTCTTTGTACCGTCGTGCTGTAGGGCAATGGGTTTGGCTTGTGTGCAGCGAAAAGAGTTTCGGGCATCAACGGCGGCTCACTGACGCCGGCCAGAACTGTTTCCGGGACAGCGATAGTCCGACTTCAGCTTGTGACCTTCAGCGTTCGAGTCTCTCGTTCCTTTCTCTCCTGTTTCCATTTGGCTTTGATGCTCTTCTCTTTTTTATCTTGAATGCACCATGTCCATATGGGTTTACAGAAAGAGGCCCGGAGCCCTCACAGACTGCTGCAATCTGCTAAAATAAAACTCTACAATGGAGACAGCGATGTAAGCAATGCACTGAAGAACCTGCAGAAGAGGGCAAGCCGAGCCTCAAGGGTGTAGTAAATTTGACTGGCTGCAGCGCAAGATGCAGCTTGCAGAAGATTCGTAAAGGACATTAGTTGGGACCTGTAGCGACAGTAGAATGGTTGTCACCTTCCACTGAGCATTAACGCGGATGTCTTATGATGATCATTCTTAAATAGGTTCAATGATCTGCAGTTCTAGCGGACAGAGAGCTCGGGATCAAACAATTTTCGGTGAGAAATTGGATTTCGCTTCGCTTAGCTTTGCCGAATACGATGAGATTGGCAATAACAGATTATCAGCTGTGCTGACGACCTGAGTTTTTAAATGAATCCATAGTCAAGTACTAATTGCGCTTATTGCGAAGGCCAGCTGTCTCAACGCTTCTGAAACATGATAGCAGAAACCAACCCTGGACTTTCGCTGAGGAGGTGGTGGCATTATAGTCTTTTGGGGAAGTAAAAAAGTCCATTCTCATTCCACAGAACCGCCAAAGCGCCCAGTCTTGCCTTTGTGATTTATGGAATCGTCTTGGTTGAAGGCACTCATTGGGAGGCGAGGCAGCAGCACGCATCTACAATGATGTAGAAAGCAAGCATATCTCCCACAGATGAGACAGCCTTTACAGTTTATAATCCATCAGGTCATTATAAGTCAGAATTGCCGATTGGCGGGTGTTGCGAGTTCAGACTCTATAGCCATACGTCAAAAGATCGACATGTTGTTCCACTAACGCTAACATTTTAATAGTAATCGACAGATTTATTTTCCTTCCACATGGCCCTGTTCCTCTCTGAGCCTCTGCTGCTTTTCGCGCAAGTTCGCCAAGCAGGGTGCTTTGAATAGACTTCTGTTATACACGCCTTTAGCGGTGAGACAAGTCACCAATATCCACAATAACACTACACAGATGGAGAATATCTATTGTCGCGTTAGCTGCAGGGAATAAAGAAAATGGTTCTTGACTTTAACATACCGTCCCAAGCACCCGGAAGAAATGCGATGGCATTTCTCGGCCTAGCTGGCAAGTGCTGGTGGCATAGACCCCGAGAGGGAAAGTAAATGCCCACCAGCCGAGATTGAACGGAAATTTCCGAGTACGAACGATCGACGCAACAGCGAAGAAAAGCCAGAGTAGTCCGAATGCCCATAGGAGGAGTCCGATGAAAAAGCCAAGCATTTCAAATACGTCACCAGTTCCTGGTCGCAGGACGTCGGTTTTCGGGAAGATGTTTTGGGATACTTGGCCTAGTTTTTGGATGCTATCATCTCGTGTAAGTATTCAGGGCTTGTTTAAGATAGCACAAAACACACATACCCATAGCTGCCTTGTCCGAGAGGTCCAAGAGGCAGGAACATGCTCACTAGGACCTCTTTTGGGGGTAACTTGTGCAACAACAGCCGCATGAGGAAAATGACTATTATCATCAATGCAAGAGGTACCCCAACCCCCCATAGCACGTAGCTGACAACGATTGTTCCGAGTGCATATTGGGGATCTGGTAATACTTCCGCGACAATGGCGCCAGATGCTGCGCACACAACGCACGACACAACGGGGAGTAGCCATGGTGCGCCCATTGCGGACAAGGCGATATCGGATTTCCGTGTCATCCTAAAGGGGTCAGCATTGTAAGTCCCACGCACCTTCAACTCAGGGGAAACTTTTCTTACATGATAAACGGCAACACGAAGCACGTTAACACGGAGAACACGGCATCAGCGATCCACAAAGCCCAGGCAAAGTAACTCGCCCAGACTCCCCAAGCAGGTATACAGACAAAGCAGAACATGTTGATGATCGTAGCAAGGCCCATAGGGAAGGTTCCCAGGAACATTGACTGTGCTGGATGTGTGACCATAACCGGGAATATTTCGGGATATAAGAGATATCGAAGGGCTGTTATAAGTAGGAAGACGAGGAATAGCAGCACATTAAAAGCAAAAAGGACTACTGATATCCAGTAGATCCATTGTCCATTGTACGGCAATGTATTGAGAAGGATTGACGCGATGCCAGTTCCCATGTTTGCCGAAAACCATCTATACTTCAATCAGCCATTGTCAATCACAAAATGAGTATGATGGTAACTGAGCTGAGACCTACGCCGGAGTGAAATTCCGAATGATATAACGCCAGCCAGTCTCATGTTTTGAGAGCTTGGGATCTGTCCCTGCTTGGCCTCCGTTTGCTAAGCATCTTTGCGACGCTGTATCTGTGGTTTCCTGGGCCATCGAGGCTACGGAGGGCAATATGGTCTACCAAGCCAAGGTAGCTCGTACGCGATATTCTTATATTCTTATGATATTTCATCCTTTCGGTACACGGCAAGCGGGCAATGAAAAAATTTCTATATGGTAATGGTTTTGTGTTTGCGGGGACGTGCAGCCCTGCCGAGACACATCAGTCTTCATTACCCTATGCTCACGCATCCAACGTAGGATATTTCGTTAGTCGGCCGAAAAGGCTACACAGAACAGTGATGAAACCTGGATAATATTTAGTCGCCGTCCCTGTTAGTCCATCGCTCAGTCGGCGACCGCGCATTCCCGAGCGGCGACCCACATCCAACCGTTTTAGGGCTTGATGAACCATAGATCCCTGGACGAGCAATCGGCGATTGACTTACCCCGGCTTTCTTGCATACGCCTCGCCACTCAGAGCTGCAGAAGGATACATCAGGTAGGATAGGGCTGATTTGTTCATGTAACGAAGCAGGTGTACCCCGAATGACCCTTCTCGGTCGAGTGCTTGCCTAGCAAAGGCCTCCGTAGGTAGCCGTATATTAATGAACCAAGAGCGTCAAGGGTGCCTCCAGTGGACATACAGCGCAGCTTGCAGCTCTGAAAACACACATTAAAATAACTGCACTCAAACTTTACCACGACTATGGAACCCACTGTGCATTCAATCTTCGAGAAACGAACATCCACCTGGCAGTATATTGTGGCATGCCCGGAAACGCGCGAAGCAGTCATTATCGACCCGGTACTGGACTATAGCCAGGAGCACCTAACGATCAATACAACCTCCGCCGATAGCCTTCTAGATGTGATCAATTCACACAACTACAAAGTAGTCCGCCTCCTCGAGACCCACGCTCATGCCGATCATCTTACCGCAGCTTCTTACCTCCAATCACGACTACAGGCGCATGGTACCAAAGTTCCTGTGTGCATAGGACGAAGGATTCGCCTGGTCCAAGACACATTTGCGAAGCGATATGGTGTCCAGGCTGATGAACTAGACCATGCGTTCGACCATCTACTAGCGGACGATGAGACCTTCCCTATTGGCAACCTCACAGCAAAAGTCCTACATTTGCCGGGCCATACCCCCGACCATGTGGGCTATTTCATTGGTAGCAACGTGTTTGCAGGCGACTCTATATTCAATCCGGACGTTGGTAGCGCTCGCTGTGATTTCCCTAACGGAGACGCTGAAGCTTTATATCAATCCATGCAAAAGCTGCTCGAGCTCCCTGCAGAGTTCAAACTGTACACCGGCCATGATTATCCGCCATCTACATCGTCCACGAGTCGAGAGCCCATGCCTTTTGCGACCGTGAAAGAGCAGCGAGAAAGAAATAAACACGTAGCAGGGAGCCGTGAGGAGTTTGTTGCATGGAGGCAGACCAGAGACTCGGGTCTACAGGAGCCAAGACTCCTTCACCAGGCTTTACAGATCAATATTCGCGGAGGAAAGTTGCCTCGGAGCCCCGATGGTAGCCGGAGGATCTTCCTGCAGGTTCCTGTTACATTGCCGGAGAATTTGGCTTAGTTGAGCTAGTGTACTACCTTGTGACCATTTATATATGGTATTTCGGACTTTTCGATGTCAAATAAATGGGTGTGGTTACATCTGTGTACGAACACGTAGCAATCGGCATATTGTGTGGAGAAGAGCTATATATCCGTGAGATGAAAGATTGCTAAGTACTGCTAGTGAAAGTAAGAAATGATACCGGAACTCGCCGATACAACGATCAATAACTGGTCACTGTGACTTAACTAGTTATTATTGCCCACAAGAATAGTACATCTATCAGCGTGGTTGTGGTGGTGGGTGATACTCGTTATTTCTCCTGATTTTGACACGAAGTAACCTTAGACAGAGAGCAGAAAGGTGCATACAGTATCTCTACAGAGCCAATGTTGCGCACAAGTATATTTCGAGAGAGCCAAGATAAACTACCGAGACCTCGGTTAGAGGGTAAAGAAGCATACAGAAACCAGCGAAGTCAGACTTGCCTTACAAAATCTCTTGGTCTAAACCTCAGCCGGTAGAAGCCAGTTTGAACTTTGCCCAACAGCACTGCTCAACAGAATCGAATCATCTACATACCACTCCTACTTGGTTTGATGTGGCTGATAGGGGTATAATATGCTAGTGAGTTATTCTGAAGTTATCATTGAGAAGCGCCAGGCCTGAGCGCTAGTGGTAGGTAAACTGGGACACGCGACGTTTAATGGGGGACCTCTCGCTCATAACAGGCGCCCTGAGCGATATACAGGCTATTCTACCTTGAAGTAGCACCGGCTTGAAATCAATAGGCCGGAAGTGCCCTCCAAGGAACTCGTGACACTTGGTTTCACGCGTCAGCAATTACCTCTGCCTTACATGAGTGAAAAGGATAAACCAAAGAGGGACAAGCCGTGCAGCGAAAGACATGTCATTGAAGGAGATCGAAGAGACTTATGAGACCTTCGACTTCATGTAAATCATCAATTACAGGATCTCTTCGCATTTATAGCACTCGATTGTCCAGCAGACTAAGGACGTCTTCGATCTGTCAGCCGAGTCCAAGGAAAGGCATGCCTCACATCCGATGTTATATGGAAAACTAACCTTACGAATGCCGTTGTGAGCAATGGCGACAACACATACGTCCGGATCCTTCACTGCGAGTTCTAGCGCGGTATCAGCTCTCTTGATGTCAAGATAGGGCCATAAAGGCAATACAGAAG